TCGTTGTAACTTGTGGTTCTGGCTGTGGTTGTGTGGTGTGGCCCATTTTGACATGCTTGGGTCGTGTCGATCCTCTTTTTTTTTCTCGTGGTGGTTTTCTTTCCACAATTTTGGCTGTGGCTCTGTGAGTCTTGACTCTCGGTCGGTCTCTCATTTTGTCTTCAGGTCTTCACCGTATCCAATCAAGTTTCTTTGGATGAACAACCTTTGGAAACACACAGTAAGGTGGTTGAATGTTGTAGAATGCAAGAGCTGCATTATGCCACGGACAAACCATTGGAGATAACCCCCCCTTCCATTTCACTCGGCTTGCCGACCCGGGAGGGGGCCGATGCTTGGTCGGCACGTCGGGTACAACGTAAGGAAAGGGAGCTCAGCAAATGTAGACTCGTAGCTCGCAGTGTCGCCGCGCCATGTTTGGAGGCCACCTCGGGGGCACTGGGCGGATATGCCGTCCTCGGTAACGTTCCCACCGAAGCGTCAAGGTTCGGGGTAGCTCCAGGTGAGGGTCGCGTCGAAGGTGAGAGGTCGGTGTGGCCAACCGCCGCCGCCATCTATCCAGACTCTAGTATCCATACCGCGCTAAGAAACAGGCGTCCTTCCAACAAACCCAGCAGCCGCCTTTCCTTTCCTCTTCTCCTGTTGGTGAAGAGAGGGCGGTTGCCAAGTCGTCGCTTCTTCTTCTTGGAACCAACGGCAGCTCATCATTTGCCGTATTCCTCTCTCTGCCTTCTTGTCCCGGGCCATCCCCTTGGAGTTCCATTACTCCGCAGCGTATCATTCAGAGCCAACCCCCCTCACCGGTTCCCTGCACAATATCAAAGAGCCGCTGTTCCTTCTTTCTGCCCTTGGCCTTCCTCTCTCTCGCGCTCTCTCGCTGCCCTTGTCCCCCCGAGGCTCAGCTCTGATAAGTTTTCCCATTGCAGCATCAGATAAAAGCCCGTCAATTTACGGATAGACAAGGGCACAAAATAAAAAAGGCAGCCAGCCAGGGGGCCCGCATTGCCGGACGGCCAACGAGGACCCAAGAGCCAGACGTCCGGGTTACGTTTCACCGCATTTCGCTTCGAACGCGTGATCTTCGGCTAAGAACAGTCCATCCTCTGTCTTATTCTACAGTGTGTGCGCGTGTGTCTGCTCGTTCTGGTTCTCGTCGCTATCGTCGCTATATTGCAGATGTGACAAGCCACCGTCAATGTTCCCACGCCGCGCAGAAAACCCCTTCCCCCTCCCCATCCATCCTCTGATGGTCAAATATTGGTTCGGACCCGGGAGCAGGGAACCACCCTTACAGAGGTCAGGTATCATTTTTCTGCTTGGGCGCCCAGTTAGCCCGGCCGTTGGACCCAGCCGCGGCTGGAATAAACGGGGTTTCGCAGATCAGTTCCGTTAGGCACGCTGAATGAAGTACAGTACGCCACAGAACAATATAGAGGAAAAAGGCCGCCTTTCTACGAGTCGTGGTTCCTAGACGATTTTTCCGCACTGACAATGTTTGTCAGGTGAGAAGAACTGAGGATCGGCGTCTAGACCGGCGGTCTATTTCCCATTCTCGGGGTCCCCAATTCTTCCTGGTGCTGCGTCTGGATACAACCTTACCCATCACCAAATCCGGTACTGGATATTGTCCATCCTCCTCGCTGGGACCCTTACCCTGAACACTACACCAAAGTCCCGAACCAATTGAGCGGGAGCCATAACGCAAATATTGCGCTGTTTTTTCGTTCTGTGTCTTGTTTGCTCACTGATATTCCCGCGCCTGCTTCTTCATTGGTCAATTGATATGGTCCGGTGAAGCAAACGTACAGATACATTTCTCTCCCCCACGTCTTGACAACGCCCGATCCGGAAGGTGCTCTGCGCTTGAGTCGCCGACCTCGTTCCAAGTACGGGCAACGCAACCACCACGCTCGCACTCTCTGTGTCTGGCCTCTTTTGAGGACCTCGGGCGCCCGCCTGGGGGTTCGTGTACCCAGCAAGATGTGGGTGGGAAAGAGGTTGTCTCTCTCTATGTCTCTTTTTTTCTCAAATCGAAAGAGACACCCGTAGGGATTGCGGCGCGAACGAGTCAGGACCCTTGTCGGAGCAGGCGCGGCTTTTTGTGGGCGTGAAGAGGCGCGACTTGCGTTAGGGAGGACGGGGGGAAGAGGGTTGAGTGGCCTTCTTTGCCTGCCCAGAGCGAGGGATTGGTTCTGGTTTGGCCCGGTGTTCAGACGGAGGAGTCCTCAAGGGCAAGGGGAATACGGCATGCCACACCGGGGGTTCTGGCCTCTTCGTTCCGGGCGACGCTTGGCTTACGCGGATCTCGGACGGGAGGACTTCGTCGATGGACGACCGTCGTCGTGGTTGGAGGGGATGCCGGGGGTTGGCGGTCTGGTAGTTTGGCGGGTTGGCGAGGATTTCGGATTGGCGAGGATTTCGGATTGGACTCCGGTGACGATATCGCGTTGCTCGTATTGGGCTCTTTCACGGTGAGCTCTCCCCTACCTCTTCTCTACTTTGTCCTCGGCACTGGTGTTGCCAAGTCGAGGGATTCATGGAGAAAAAAAGGGGTCTTGCTTCGACGATCCTTCAATCCCGGCCCAGGTTTCTGGACCGCTCGCATGTCGGTAACGACCGAACCCTTGTTACTGTTCAGAAGCCGAGGCGAAACTGGCGCCGGGAGGGAGAAACCCCAAGAGTCGAAATCTTGTGACAGGAGGTTTTCTATCATATCTCGATTGCGTGGTCCACGAAGAATAGTCGGGACGCTCTTAATTTACAATGCAGCGAACTAAGAAATCCCCAGAGAATAGCAAAAGGGGCGGCGCCGCGGGAGGTCGGGACCACAGAGGACCGGCCCATGTCCTTTTTGTATGATCCTCCTCCGAGGAGACCAATCGTCCAGGGGGTTTGGCATGCTAGTTTGAACTCAAATAATCCCAACCGGCCATCGGGGTTTCTAGCTGTTCTCCCTCCTGGCTGCTGCTAGCTTAGTATGTGTCTCTTGAACAAGCAGCAGCAGCTTAACAGCTTATGGTGGTAATCAATCAGTCAAGCCAGCGTATATAGTTGCCTTTTACGTGTTAATACGTGTTAAATTTCCCGACCATCGCTTCACCGAGAGGGCGGTCGTGCCCATTGGCGATCATCCCGCGTGGGGGAGCCGGGGGATGGGGCGCCTAGTGCGTTTCGCGAGAACTGCTTCATGCGTTAAGGACGTGATAAACTATCTAAGAGAGAGGGCACCAGAGATAGAGAGCGGCGTGGGTAGGTGGGAGGGGGTCGACCACGGCCCGGTTGAGGCCACCCGGGAAGGGTTCTGGGTTATGTGACTGTTTAAGCGGGCGAGCCCGACGCTGCGGGTGGGATGTGTCCGTCGCTGCTGAAGAAGATTGCCTTGTTGAGAAGGTGTGATGGAGCGCGAGGTTCACCGGTCGATTTGACGGCCCCACGCCGGAGAAGGTAGTGCGAGGCGGCGGGAAGGCCGTTGCATACTCGGTCAAAGGTCCACTGTCTCACCGCCCACGGGGCAAGGCGCGACGGCTGGGCGTGACGGGGCCCAGACTTACACGTGTTGAGACTATACGGAAATAGACGCCGTGAGGCGAGGGAAAAAGAGAGTTTGACGAGTGGTTTGATCTTTTGTCTTCGGCCCTCGCCGGATGGTGTGATGTTGCTATGTTCAGGGCGCTTAGAGGGTGGTTGGACATGGTAACGAATCGGCATTGCTTTTCGAAGGCTCATACGAGAGGAAACCTTTAGTATTGTTGGTGCTTACGCCCTTGAAGCAATACTAAATTGCAGAAAGTACGTATATCTTCATGGGTAAGAAGTCTTGTGCTGTGGCAGTGTCAACTAGATTGATTCAGAGAATGCCGCTTATGACAAAGTTCTGAACCCATTGTAACGTTGCTCTGTAGCAATAATTCAATCTTTAATGTCAAAGTCATCGCGTGGCCTGCTCAATTGGGCAAGAAATCTGAACAAGGGACTCTGTCTTCCCCTTCACCCGGCTCGGCACTGTGAATACCGCCCAGGACTTCTCGTCCTTGTTTATCTCGATCAACCCTGCAATTTATGCTAGTATATAGTCAGAGGTTGACGACGGGCTTGAGTTTACCCTTTACGTGGTTGATGAAGGGGCTGAGGCAAAGCTTGTCGCCTTAAAATTCCTCAACTCGTGTGGATGACACCTCCATTATCCCGGCGACAAGATTGCAGCTATTTACACGTGTATTACATCTGCTTATGTCGAACCCATACTCGGATTGGATGACCAGTAAATGAGATTTGTGGAGTCTGTTACTTCGTTTGTGGCCTGGGTCAACTTCTCTTCGCTTGAGTCCTACTCGTAGAAGTTTCGCGAGTACATTTGAGGTGATTGAAATTGTCTCTGAGTGTCACTTTGGGCCGCGGATGAAATGTTTATCAGGCGTTTTTGAACCTAGATGATGTTGAGGGATGTCGTCGCGAAGTTGAGAGTAACAGACTCCGCTCACTTGTCTTAATGTTGAGTACCAGCTGGAGAATCTTGAGATTCTCAACCAGTCATTTCGGCCATGGGACCAACAACACTATAGGTATGGGAACGACTGCCACTTTCCATAATAGTTACGGCCATGGCTACTTTGACACGCAACCCGGAATATACGACCGAAGCAGAAGCTTTCGCTAATCGAGTCTCTGCTGTCTTTTCTTTTGCTGGGAACGAGAACTGCTCCCTACGAACATTCGATTTGTATCATACACCCCAGACTGGCCAACAAAGACTAGAGTATTGCCTGGGCCCAAAGCTCACCTGGTATCTAAACTTCATTGCCGCAAAACGTCTTGGTTGTTGGAAGTATCAAATCCAACCAATCTCTTCTTAAATGATTGAAATCATGTCATGTGTCCAAAGAGTTCTATCATCGCAAGTATGCCTTGACTCTTTGAAACTGCTCTATCAACATGTTCCAATGGCACGTACATACCTTGTTCTCCTTCTCGTGATACCACGATTTTCTGCAAACAAAGAATCAGACCCCCAATCTCCTCGCAACCTCCTCAAACCCACCTTCATCCACCTTCACCCAAACATCAACCCAGACCTTGGCGTCCTCATACTTCTGACTCCCAACCTCCCAATCCTCCTCCCTCGCCCTCTCCACATACACAGTCCTCAAACCTCTTCCCCTCGCCGCGTATAAGTCCCCCAAATGCGCCGCTACCATCGCAACGTCCCCCTTCTCACCACCCTTCCCCAGCAATGCCTCCACGGCGCCGTCATACACTACCGGGTTCGGCTTATACGCCTTCCAATCCTCCCCCGACATGATCTTCCGGAAACCCAACCCGCCAAACGCATCCAAGTCCTCCAGCAGCGTCCGGTTCCCGTTCGACAAGGTCGCCGTCACAAACTTGCTCCCAAGACGTTGCAGCCCGGCCGCGGAATCAGGCCAGGGGCGCAGACGGTGCCATACCAGGCTCAAGTCGCGGATCTCGTCCTCGGAGAATACGCCCTCGAGGTGATGTGTACCGAGGAGCTCAACGAGGCTGTCGTAGTGGTGTGCGTCAATGTCCTTCCATGCTGTCTCGCCGGGGACATAGCCGTGGACGAAGTGCTTGTACGAGTTTCGCCACTCCTGGGCGAACGCGGGCCAGTCTACCGCGGCAAGTTTGTCTTTGGCTTCTGGACCGAGAGCATTAGAGGTGGCTTTGGTGGACGCGCGGGACGTGAGTTCATCCGTGACGGAAGAGCGCCAGTCTACGACCGTCCCGAAGACGTCGAAGGTCAAGGCCTTGACGTTGCTGAGATCTTTGGACATGGTAAAATTGGCGCAGAACACAGGGGAATGTGACGAAAAGTATTGTATTGGCGTATGCCGTTCGTGGCCCCTATCCTCGATGAGTCGATGATATATCTCTTGTCATGTGAAGGGCGCAAGTGATGAGGTTATGCGGGGTCGGATCTCGTGCTGACTTATCGAACCCGCCCGGGTCCGGGCGGGGCACGGCTATGCCGGGCCGTCCGATGGCCTCGGTCCCGGCGGACCCGGACGAATCCGGATAGTTGACAAATCACGCCCCTTGAAGTAGTGTTTTTTGATTAGTGATGGCATGTCATGCAGTCTCTTTCAGCCGTGTTTTCTCACAGCAATTGCAGTTGGTGCGAGAACCAAATGTTGAGTCCGTTTCTGGTCGGCCCTCGTGTCCTAGACTAACTTGGCTTGTCTCCTGGTCTTGTAAATGTGAATCGTTCTCCGCTTACTGAGAATCAGGTCATCCAAAGATCCCAGAGATATTTTTGAACCACTTCTTATCGACAAATTCCACTGAGCCGCGGATCCTACGGGGGCATGATGAATTTCAATGTGAAACAATATTTAATAGAATATAAGCCGATCCGTCGGCTCCAACCGGTGTGACGCTCGTCAAGAAATTGAATTCGGTCCTTTCATCGACGCAATTACGAGACCCTTCTTCCCGGAGTAGCTCTCGACAACGCATGGCTCCCGTTTCGAGCACTTTTGGCGTGCTTCAAAGACGACTCCCCAAGCCTTTGCCATGAATCTTTATGTCTGGTCATGCTTGTTTCCAGAATATTCTTCAAGGGATCAAGAAAGAGAGCGACGTGCATGAAATTGTCTGTGGTAGGAGTGGTTGAATCACGCGCATACGACTCCAAGACGTATCATCTGACGGATGTTCAAGCAACAACCAAGGCCGGCTTATGATTTGCGATTGCAACTCCGAGCCCGAGCCCGTCACATACATATAGTTTGCAAAAGAAATACATAGTATCACAAACATATCCCCGATCAGTCTTCATGATCTCGGAAAGACGTTGCGTGGGCTCAGACCACGCCTGACGTTCTCAGCAATACCGCTTCGAAGCGGGGGAAACATACACTCAAGTTACGTCAACAGCGAACTCGCTCCTCATGCCGACGAGAAAAGAATTTTAATCAAATTATACAATATGCATTCGGGACTGTATCATGAAAACTCCGTTCTATCAAATATTAGCAGCTTATAAAAAGACCTCTCAGCTCCAAGCTTGGCCATTTTCCCCTCTCACATGTAGAAGCCCTACCAAAGAGCTTGCTTTGGAGATCATATAGCTTGACAAGAACTGAGAAGCTTGTCAGTCTCCTCATATCGATTACACTAGGTGACGTGTCAGTTATAACATTCGTTTTAGTATTCAACATGTTGACCTCGGCGTCTCCGTTCCCTCGCATCCCCTACGTATCCGCAGGATGAAATATGGTGGTCTCACACAGAGCAGAAAGGGATGTTCAAGTCAGTCTCCGCCGGAACCGAAACTTGTACATTGATACATGTCCCAACTTGGATATCTTATGGACCGATAGCACTTAGAAGGGTCGATCGTGCTCCTACATACGTTGTTTCAACTCGGTGACGGTTTGAATATCATGGGAATGCCGCACGCGCTACCTGTTCGGGATATCGTACATGACAAAGCGCTTACAGCGTGTATCAGCCTATCAATAACGATGCTCTACTATGTACAGAGCTACAAGACTCTACAGTGTGAACGTCACGACCAATGACATCACCGGCTGACATCAGACTTCCTATTCGAAAAGTTGCAAAAGCTCAGACCTAAACCATGAGACTTCGAGCTAGAAGCCACAAACTGATGCTAATTAACATACTGCGTGCAATAGGGGCAAAATACCCCACGTGTAAGGAGGACTAACGACCAACAGCGTGATGAAAACTTCTGCTACATGGGTTTCGTGCTGTACTTTGCGCAGGAGACAAGGCACTTGATCCCAGTTGAGAGTATGAAAGACATAGAGCTCAAAGATGTCGGATTCATAATTGTGTGTAGCAACCACTCTGAAATTGCTTGGTAATTTATAGACTTCTCAGGCAGCTAAGACATAGGATCGACAGTGCGTTCCTTCTCGATTCCGCTGGAGCTGTCTCAAAAGATCCCAAACTACAAATCGTCCTGCTCATGAACATTATGAAAGAGCTACTAGCACATGAAACAACGAGAGAAGTTACATTTTTCCTTTCTGCCAGTCCTCACACCAACCTCATCACTGCCTAGAAAGTATCCCGGCCTGCCGTCTGCCCTAAACAAAGCTTTAGAATCCCTCAGAAGACACCATGACATCTGAGCAAATCAGTGACATGAATTAGGAGCATTGTTTGCCTGACATGCGGGTCAATTGGAGATTCTGAACTCCCGGAGACGTCACCAAGTATGTCTTCAGACAACTTCAGGTCTCTAATATTACCACGAGAGCAGCTCCTGTCACGTATCTCACACAAGTAACCACGTGGACTAACGCCAAATACAGCTATCATTACAACATAAAGAAGGGCTGCCCGAAAGTTCTCTTGTCTTGGTATAAATGCCATTTCTCGGTCAACACAACGAGAACTTGAGGTTGGCTTTGCAATTTCTTGCCTCCACGGTGCAAGCGAAGGTGGAACAGCCACGTAGACTTGCCTACCCATGCGTAGAAGCTCAAACTTCGCAAATTGTGATTTAAGAAGCACGACGATGGCATCCCCAAGCTGCGACACAATCGTGGACCAGTGTCACGTCTTTGATATCAGTAGGTCGGCAAGAGGCCTTCCACATCATCCACCTCATACGCTGGCAGGCCGGGTTTAACCCTGCCTAGAAATCCCCGCTTTCCCTCGCCCATGTCCCCTGGTATACCGCGTTCTTATACTTCCCCGTTGAAAATACAAACCGTTTAGTCTTTAGGTTTGAAGGGTCGTTCTGAAGACAGCACTCTTCGTCTTCTACAAGAACAAGCGCAACCGTGTTAAATACTCTTCGCTAGCTTAGCCTATGTCGACTTCTAACTTTCTGTGTGAGTGTAAAATTGCTTAAAAACAACCACAGCTTTCTTCTGCAGTGACATGGACCAACGACGCCAATCCATATTTGTTTCGCTCGGTGTCCATCTAAACAACATCGTGTAGATGGAACTAGCAGAGATCCCTCGTAACACCATCTAGATTGCTTCTGGTTCTTCCTTGGTCACTGTCCTTGCTGCTTCTCATAGTCGAAGTATTACCCGCTATTAATCATTGGTTCAAAACCTCTTGCCTGTGGGAAATCGCGTCTGGCCGCGACATATGCTAGGGCACGAACGCAAGCTTCTCTGAAGTCAAAACGATTACATGATCGAACTTGATTTGTGCGGTTGTTTTACTTCCTGCGTCTTTAGTCTGCCATTCCCTTTTATAGCCAACTCCAGACGGATACTACCAGCCTCCACGATACTAACATAAAGTCGTTGCAAGTTATCCAAGTATGTTTCATTCCACCAAATACGGCAGCAAGATAGTCTCATTCGCAATATGAACATCAGACATCCTCGAGGAAATAAAATTCCAATACGTATTCCACCTGGATACCAGAATTAGAACGAAAGAAACATCCCACCTGGTTTGTCGTTCCCCTCCATCTTATCTGCTGGTCGAGTATTCCTACTGCGACCCCAGCCGGATTTGCTACTTGGATCATGTTAGCAGCCACAAGCACTCCGAACATACCGAAGCTATCAATTTCGAAATCTGCAGCCGACTTGACCCAATACGATGCGGATCTTGAACTGCTGCAGAGTCATCAGTTCGACATGAGATCTGCCACTTTTAACATATTCGAAGCCTACGCCGGAAACACGTTTCCAACCTGATGGGTCAGATTTTCTTCAGAATTCCGCCATCAGAGATATGGCCAGACAAGAGGATAAAAAAACCCTCAGTAGCTCACATCTACACGGGACCGAGGCCGCAATGACGTTGCCGGTGTGAAGATGTATCTGACCATTTCATGAGAAGCCATACCAGATCGGCAGCATCCCCAAATCTCTCCTCTAAGAACACAAATGTCCTGGCTTCCCGAGAGTATTGTCCCAATCTTTACGGACATGCATATGTCTCGGACAGGGACCAAGACCGACACGGTCTGCTCTTCCATGCAGCCGAGTCTTCCACAGACATCCGGTAACATACCATCATGAGCACTGTTTGCAAGCGAAATGCTGAGTCGCGGCTTTTTGAACTAGTTTGACATGTGTATCACTCACACAATTGGCGGCTTGTCTGATGCCAGCTACTCGCGAAGTGTGTCTTTGCTGTCCTATACCCACGGCAGAGTGAACAACCAAGACTCTCCTACAAGACTGGTTACCACTGCACCCGTGCTACGCTGGCATTGGAGAACCCTTCACACGCAAATCAGCCGACATTTTATCAACCATCGGTCCTATAAATAGATGCATGCCCTCTATGTCTTACGAATCTACACAGACACCGAGCAAATTCCCCAAGACTTCCTCCTGGTGCCGTTGTCTATAAACCAAACAAGACACATATAACTCCGGTGCTTCTCACCAACCTTTCCCCGTCTGAACCACTCCCTCCCCAGCACCTAATACCAATCCAATCCCAGATCATTCACGGCATATACACGCCAAGTCCTAGGGTTCACAAGAGCCGACTTCCAAAGCCCAACACGGCAAACCATAAAATACTTGCATCGTGGGAAGGCGTGCTTCAGCAAAGTAGGGAAAGGCATTCATGAGCTGAACCACAGCGAAAAAAAAGATCACCCCATTTGTCGCAAGGCAGAAGTTCCGAACTGCGGACGAACATCTCATTCATAGCCAGACGGATCATGCGGGTGCCACATTCACACGTTCCGGTTGACAATCCCTGAATATATGAAATGACGGGCCTGCACGTTATATGAACGGGCTTCAAGCCGCACAATAGATCTCCAGCATGCAAATCACTGCAGATGACAGCCCCGGGCTCGTTCAAAATC